GGAATGTGCATGAGTAAAAATATCAACAGAAGGAAAAGAAAGAAGAAATGTACCATTATGGTACCATCTAACAAACGATAAGAAGCTTTTCTAAACGGTTAAAACATATACTACTACGGCTGTTATCCGATAAATACATTTGAACACATATATGTGTTGCCGGGAGCGAAAGGGTTAAGGGTCTACTTGTCCTAAAAGTTTCAAGTTTTTCTGATGATCTATTCTCTAGAAACTTGAAAAGAGGGACGATGCTCTTAAAGTGTTGAATTTATCTATTAGTGGTATATAATACATATGAACTGTTCCAAAAGTAAGCCATAGTTCTGAAGAGTCAGTCGAAAATCTCAAAATATCGTCAAAGCTGCTAGTCTAAAATTGTCAAACCCAAGTTCACAAAAGTGTCAGTCCGGAGTTCCCTATTATTGATAATCAGCATGCTAGAGGAAAGGTGAACCGAGCAAGTAGCGATTCATGACTAGCTCAAGATCATTTTATAACTGATAAAGCCGATATTTGAATACAGCATCTTATGGATAAGTGTCAAATAATATAGCGATTCAACCATTCCTTTAGAGAATATTTACTCACGTAGCAAATTGACGAATGATAACTTGTTTTGATTGATGTGCTGGAACTAACAAAAACAAATTAAACATTAGATTAATTAATTGTTTAGGAAATAATAATGATATAATAAAATCAATTTGATTTTGTTTTATTAATGATTTATCTGTTATTAATTCAATGAAAAAATTAAGAATTTTTAAAACAAAATTAAAATCTAATTGTTGTTCTTGATTGATAATTATTTTTTCATTTGAATTTAGATTAAATAAAGATGGTTTAAATAATAATTGAATTGATTGAATAAATATATATTTTTGTAAATGATAAAATAATGGTGCTTTACTTTGTAATAAATCATTATTAATTGTAAAATTAAATTCACATAATTTTTTAATTTCATTTTTAAGAATTGAATTAATTAATAAATTTATTTGATCATGTTTTTCATCGTTATCTATTTCTATATAATTTAATAATTTCAATAATGTAACAAGAAATGTATAATCACCAAGTTTTTCTAATGGAAATAAATTTGTTTGATCATATAACCAAAGTTTAATCATGTTAAGAATAGTATAACGTGCATAGATTGTTGTTAATCCATGTTCACAATCAATACGAGATGTTAAAAATTGTTTTGATGAGATATTTTTATTGAAATATTCGATTAATTCTAAAGTCTTGTTTTTTCTTGTTTGTTTTTGTTCATTTTCATTTAAATCAAGTAATTGATAAATACTGTTTTCTATAGTTTTTGTTGATGCTTTGTCTAGAATCCATTCATTAATGTTAGAATTGATATTTAAATCTTGAAAATATTGAGAAAACCATTGTGTAGTATTTAAATTTAATTGAAATTCTCTTTTATTATTAGAAATTTTTGATGATTGTGAAAGTATCCAATGTGGAAAAATACGTTGTAAAATATCTATCATTTGTTCGTTTGTATGAAATTTTGAAGAGTTAATTAAATCATTCAAAATTTGAGAATCAATCGATGGACTTAATTGTGATAAAATTTTTAAATAACGATTTCGTTCATTTTCAAGATCATTTTTTATCAATTGTTCTTTTTGTTCATATAAAATCTTATGAATTTTTGAAATATTTCCTATTTTATATTGTTTTATAACTGATTCGATCCAGGATTTTTTATAGCCCATTGCTATTAAATTTGATCCAATGATTAAAAAAGGTGGTATAATCAATGTTTGTAAATTTTGATAATCTATTGGTATTGATCGATTAAGATATGTGATCGATTTTAATGATATTCGAATTGTATCTTCTTTTGTTGTATTTTTTCTCAAATCATTTTCTCGAAATAAATCAATACGATTTGATTTTATATGGAATCGTTCATCATCAATTTCGATATTAATTTCTAAATTATCATTTAAATAAATTTGAATAGATTTTTCTTGAACAGATATGAATAAATTGAAATATTCATTAAGCATAACTGTTGAATTACTTTCATTTTCAGTTCCATTACATTGAAGACGAATTTTACCAGTATGTGTTATATAAATGTCTGCTTTTGAATTCAATATAATTAACGTTAATTTTTCATCCATAATTGGCCATTGAGGAATAGAAATATTGAGAATAATTGTATATTCTGACCATTTTTCATTTGATTTATCTAAAACAAGATATGTTTGATTTCCAAATAATTCAACTATTGAATAATCTATATTCATATTTGTTTTAAAATATTTCGATTCATAATCATCAGCTTGTATTTTCTTTTTTTTCCAAATATCTTCTTTAAATGATTCATTAAATGGAATAAGACATTCATTGATAAATATTGTTTGATTTTTCAAAAATGTAATTTGATTTATTTGTTTATAATATTCTTTTAATTGTTGATATTGAATAGAAATATATGAAAGATTATAAGTAAATAAACGTTGAATGTTTTCTTCGGAAAGTGCATATTTCCATATAGCAAGATTTTTTATTTTAGCATTAATATCAGGTAAAATATGTAAGTTTAATTTAAGAATTGTTTCATGTTGAAATGCATTTGGAAATGTTCGATATTTGTTATTGATATAAACTTTTATTTGACATTTTTTTACTAGAAAAATAATAACACATCGTAATTTTTCATCAGTTTTTTTCCATTTTATTTCTGTTGAATCTAATTTAAATAATAAAATATCAGATTTTTCATCTGATGATAATATTTGAAAATCAAAACATATTGTCAATGATGTTAAATCATCATTATTTATTAATAATGGAAAACCAGTATTTTGATCAGATAAAATAAGATAATGATTATCATCGAAAGAAAATTTTGTTTCAAGATGATTTTCATTTATAAAATCACGTAAAAATATATTAGATGAATTTATTCGTGTAGTATAAAAATAATCTTCTGGATTTTCACCAATTAAATAAGCACTAAAAGGATACTCAACAAGAGAATTTTCAATATGAATTTCTTTTGGTAATAATAAAGGTTTGTAACCATTTGGTAATGGACAATCTTGCATATCTTCTGGACTAACTATTAATTCACAAGATCTAATTGGATCACTACTAACTTGTATAGTTACACCTGGAAAATAAGTTGTTGTTGGCCCATGTGGTAATAGATTACATTTTTTTGTTGACGATGGTAAACATGAATCATGTGTAAAAGCTGTACCTAAGAATTTTCCATTTAACCAATATTTTATTTTTGTATTATTACCATCAATTTCAATTCCACAACCACATATATCATTTTGTTTCCAACGAAGATCATTATATTGACCATAATATCCTTCTTCATGAAAGAAAACAGCCCGTGATCCATCGTATGACCATGAATATTTATCATCACCTATTCCACAACTTCCAGAAGGTGAAAAACCATTTGTTGCCCATCCTATTTGAATAACTCCACCAACTGGTAATCGAATACAATAATACCAGTTTCCTTTGCTTAATTGTAAATTATCAAATACATATGTTGGAAAACTTACTCGTGTATTAGTCCCATCAGGAGCTATTCGTCCATAAAATCGATGTTTAGTTCCACATTCTTCAAATACTTGTGCAGAGGAAATATGACTTGGCATTGGAACGATAGAAATGTTATCCTTTCCAATTCGACCTTGTTTTAAAAAATCTATTTCTATTTCCGATGCATATGGTTTCCATGAATTGGATTTTGATATAGGTGTTGACAAAGTATTCATAACTAGTTGATCACAATTGAATTCATCATTGTTCCATATGGTATATAATGAATTATCTTGATCATTTGTCGATATTGACTGATCATTTATGTTCCTATTCTCATATTCAATTATTGGTTTCAATTTTTCACACATATCTAAAGTTAATGAATATATTTCTAAATCTTGTTTATTAAATAAATCTAAATCAGTTGATTGTTGTTGAATTTTTTCTATTGAATTAGATATACATAATTTAGCAATAGTAGATGCATATGGTTTTTCCATAAATATTTCAACTAATTTTTTATCATTTAATATATGATATAAAACAGATATTGAACGACGTTTTAATTGTAATAACATCAATGATTGATTAGTTGATGTATCAATTTGAATAAAATTGCCTAATATATCAAGAGTTGAATTATCTACATTTGATAGATTTGGTGGAGAGACATCAATTTCAAGTTTTAATTTATCTATTGAAATATTTTCTATTTGATTTGTTTGTAAACATTGAATTGAATAAGATGTTTTTGTTTCACCAATATTTGAATCAATTTCAATAATTAATGCTAATGATGTATCATCATTTAATTTTTTATCATTATCAACTGTTACTATAGAACCTAATCGATACGGTTCAATATATTCACCTAAAATACATAATGATGCTAAAAGTTTATTCATTTCATGTAAATCATTAAGTTCAATTGATTTCAAATTTAAATATAATTCTATAGAATCTATTATAAATTTTGTTGCTATTATTTGCCATGATGAATTAATTGACATTATTGTACGATACATATAGATTAATTCTGCTAGAATTTCTTGTGAAATATTATTTTTACCAATTAAATCTAAAGTATCGATTAAGAATTTTTCAATAAAATTTTTCGATAATCCATCGATGTTATCTGGTATGTAGGGAATTAAATAACGCAAAATTTTAATAGTAAGTAAACGCGTAATATTAGATTGACAATTATGATAAATGTTAAGTAATTCTTTAAGATAATCAACATTTGCACAAATAGATAAAACATGTTTATAACGATAACTACATTGAAGTAAAAGAACTAAATATTGATTTTTATAAAGTTCCATTTCATATGTATTTGAAAATATTAATGTATTATTATTTATTTCATTTGCTAGAAGAAACCAACTGATAGAAATATTTTTTAGAGAATTTTCTTTTTGTTCTTGAGAGTTATTTGATACATCTTCTTGTATTTGTTTTAAATCTTTTAATTCATTTAGAATTAATATATTAAAAATAAATTTATTTTGTTTCTCTAATATTNTACCACAAATTGATGTACAAATGCAATCCTTCTGTATGTGTTGAATGACGTGGCTCGGAAATAACATTTATAGAAATTTTCTGTCTGATTTTGATTAGTATAGGCAAACACATTTATATCTCTACCATTTGCAACATTCCAACCAGTCAATATGGCTCTGTTTCTCTTTTGTGTCACTTTACTTTGTTTATCTTTATTTTTTAGGAACTCGCTATGGACAACATGCTCAATCTTTAAAAATTTCCGATATAGTTTATTCTGATGTTTGTAGTGTTCAAATTCTGATCATATTTATAGCTACGGTAAACAGTAATGATAGTAATTCAACTATCAGCGAACACTATTGTGTATACAACAATGTGAAGTTCTCAATCATGAAATCATAATACTTACTCCGAAATGACGAACAATATTAAACATATGTTCTTTCATGTTATTTTAATGAACGATCACAGTCATATTTTCAAGAATGAACTCTTTTCAATTGATGCTACTCTTTATCTTGTTTCTTGACTTGAAAGATCTATTTACGAATTTAAAATTTGATCTTTACGTAGATGTGCTATGTTTTTCCATTAAATACTTAATGAATAATGCTTTTATATTGCTAATGCATCAGTTTTGTGAAACACGATCGAAAATGAGTATTTAAGTTTAGAGCGAGAAAATTGGGCTCCTCTGTTCTCTCCCACAGGCTATGACAGACATGACACTTCCTATTATGGTTTTTCGAATCATGGTACCATGGAGTTTGAGACCGTGTTATTTTGCTTTTTTGAACCATTTAGTTTAGGATTTTTGGATTTTTAAATTCGAATCGATCTGAAATTCTGAAACTCGAAAAATCTATATTTCTCACGTAATGAGTTATGCATGTGTGTGTGGCTGGATCTGGGTATAGATGAAAAGAAGCTTGACATTAATACCTAGAACCACACCCCAGCACCTATACCAACTCCGCGTTTTACATTTTAATCCCACAGAGATTACGTCAACAGTTTCTCTATTTGGTTTAACAAAAACAATTCCGCTCATTTTACATATCGCTGTTTCGTCTGTTACAATTTGCACAAAAACTCGTTTGCTGTCGAAATTTTTTCGTGGAAAAAAATTTCGCAGTTTGCAACGATATCGATTGTTACAAACCAGTATAATGTGTAGATCAAACATTTAAATTTTTGATGAAATTTCGTAACAAAACTGGCTTATAGTGTGTTTTGCTAATTTTTCCAACAAAAAGGACGCTTTCAGAAGATAAAAATCAACGAAATCTATGAATCAAATTCATCTTCAGCGTAGTTAACTATTTAACGTTTTATGCTGTACTTGTTTATAAATATACATCTATTTGGAATAATCACCGACCTCTGAATATGATTGGGTGTTTAGTTTATTGAAATTACGAGTTTGATTTTTCTCAACAACTTTTCCGGTCACAATTATACTGGTCTAAGCTGTGATCTCTGAGGAAAGAACGAAATTCTATAACCGACAGTACTTTTAGTTTTTCATTTGATGCAGTTGTGTCTGTTAAGTAATGACCTGATATTTTGAAAATTTTGTTTAAAAATGAACAACTTGTATACAGAACGTTTATTTATCTGTCGCTTCATTTTACAGTAAGATCCGCGTCAGAATGACTTCTTCCTCACCGATATCCACACTCTATGGCGGCGGTTAATGAACGTGTACAAAATCATGCTTCGTCTTTCCGAATATTCCTAAAAATTATCATCTCGATTTTCGTCTAAAAGAAATTTTTTTAGAAAATAATTCAGATTCTGGTACCTACCGTTTCTGAAAAACTAATTGTTTTATCAAAAAAACTTGAAAAAAATCAGAAACAACATAAAAAGTTCATTTTCAGGATACTTCTGAAACTGATACACAATTAGAAACAATAAAACCGAGATTTTGCGAAGTTAAGAATTGCATTTATTCGAAAAAAATCGTGCCACAAGATGATATTTTCAAAAACTGACTTCAGACTTTGTGAAATTCTTATAAAATTAGTCACGAAACTGCTCTCATAGTACAGAAACCGGGACCAGTCCGCTTTATCTAGATATCGAAGATCAAATGCACCTCTTTTTATAGAAAAATCTATTCCCATTAAAGAATATTTCTTCGAAAGTCTGCACTCAGAGACGTAATACGAACCTAACCGAACTGAATTGAACTATCATAGATTTTGTAAAAATATGATGGCATCGGCAAAGATAAGAAGAGCTTTAACTGCATGTTTTTTTTTTGTTCTAAACTTAATCACAGTGTCATAAAGTCTTATTTTCTCTTCATAGCAGTTACGCTAATTATTTTCATGACTATGGATCACTTCTATACGGCATAATTCTATTATCTTTAACTATATTAAATTTCACCAATACTCTGTACTGCAATGAATAATCGTCAGTAGTGGCGTGCAAAGAATATTAGCTCCAAAAAAATGCTGATACTGACATATTAATGTTAAAAATTTAATTCAAATCCACATATATGTTAATTCATACAAATAGCAATTCTCATGTTACACTTCTATCGTCTACTCTTTGCTAGATGGGACTAGTGCTACTCGAACCGAATCGAAGCTTATCTAGCAACTTGATCAGCTAGTCACAGTCGATCTAACTATTTAAAAAAAAATGAAAGTCTTCTTTAATATTGCATTATCGGCACCGTAGTTTTCCAATTTGTTTTCCTGTAATTGACAGTATATATTTCTTTCCATAAGACCATCAATATAGTGCGTGTTTTTTACGACATTTAACTACAGAGAAGAACATTAGTTCTATATTGACACGTACTTTATTATTTTCTTAAAACAGCATTGATTATGGCATTATAAATTACTAGAGAATTATCAAGGTGAGGAACATGTGTATGGGAGTATTGTTGTTCGAAGAAAGGAAAAATACGACTGGCATTGAAGTGTCATAGTGTTTTATTTCCTACTTTAATAGTAATTACTAAAAACATAATCAATGAAAATGTTAAGAGAAGTATTTTCAACTACTGTAGGGTTTTTTTTTTTACAGAAGAATGATAATTGGTGTTCTCATTTGGCTTCTATTAAAGCTTATGAAAAAAAGTACTTAAGCTATGGTGTTAATTTTCGATTACTAGATTAATAAAAGATGATTCAACAGTTTCGATCCCTCTCAGTAAATCGATGATATTTATGACAAACCTACATATAGTTAATTGATCGAAATATGTAATTTTGTAGAGGAAGATAAGAACCATCATCTGAAGAAAAAAGACACTTTGAAAATCTCCAGTGAATATTGTCATATAACATTTTTTGAGAAAAATTTAAAAAAAAAGAATTTTTATAAAAAATCTAAATGATTTATAAGTTTATTAGACAAGCTTTTTGTATAAATATTAATAATCAAATTTTGTTATGAGTTGACCATGTTTTCAACCTTTTTACAAGATTGCTAATCATTTTCTCACATTTTTCTTTATTTAAATTATTCTATTTATCAATCATTTTTTGTTTGACATCGTCATATTTACTAAAATCTTGTCGAATGATGCCTCATAAGTTTTATATTGGTCATATTTCATCTATTTGGCTTTAAATTGCACACTGAAGCTTGTTTTAAATAAAACTGTCAGAAAGATAAATCCAAGTAATTAGTGTAAAATGAAAATATTCAATCAAAATTAGTAGAGTATGTATTTCGAAGTGTCTTTTTTTCAAATAATCTCATCTTCTTCTACAAAATTGTATATTTCAATTAATTAACTATATATGTAGGTTCGTCATGAATATTATCGATTTATTAAGAGGAGTCGAAACTTTTAGATCACCTTTTTTTGGTCGAAGGAGTTTGACTTACACTAAGAGAAATTGAGTATAACAAGTCCTAGTGCCATATTTGAAATGAACAATATCCGTTATTTAGGTCTATATACGATTAGAATTAAGACTTCGAAAAATCTAACTTTATCGTTCAATGGAAGACAAATCGGATGGTTCGAAACAGCGTTCATTCCTTGAACATCGTCGGCGATCGATTCTGGTAGGTTATTTAGTCACTACTGCAACACATGGTCTACGTAATATTGGCATTACTAACAGCACATTGCATCGAGCATTTTGGATTATTACCTTTGTGGTGATGTTTGGCTTGATGTCTTGTTTCATATTCATGGAACTATTGCAATATCTTGCTTTTCCTACACAGATCAGCATCGACATTGTACCCATACGTGACATGCTATTTCCAGCTGTGACTGTGTGCAACGGCAATCCGTTTCGGCAAGATCGAATGAACCTCGCGCTAAATGCTTATGCACATAAGAAGGGTATCAATCTAAATGAATCGAATCCTGAACAACTCGCTTTTGCCATGTTCGTCGATATGTTCAATCAAAACAAGTCTGATGAGTTTGAAAAGTTTGGATTTCAGCTGTCGGATATGTTACTCGAATGTTCGTACAATGGTATGAATTGCTCGTCGAACTTTGTTCATTCTCTATCGTCGGTCTTTGGTAATTGCTTTACATTCAATTGGAAAGTGGCCACGAAGAAATTATTTACGCTAGCTGATCTAGGTTCAACATTGATGATGTACGAAGGTTTGTCAATGACTTTTTACGTACCGCGTCATCTTAGTTTTCCTTCGACAAATTTTGAGGATGGTCTTATTCTATTCTTGCATGACAACAATGAACTTCCATTCATGGTTAAAAACAGCATACGATTACGACCTGGTCTCGCTCATACAATAACGTATCGAAAAAGTCAAACCGTTTTTCTTCCTAAACCTTATACGAATTGTACAACTGAAGTTGGACGTAATTTGCGTCATATCTACGAGGTTATCTTCGACCCACATTTGGCTCGTCAAGTTGCCTATTCCGAAGCTTTATGTTACGAATTGTGTGAACAAGCTTATATTTTCTCCCAATGTTCCTGCATTTTGCCTATTCCATTTCTTATGCGATATGTCTTTTCGTTGGATCATGATCAACTTCTAATCGCCAATTCTTGTATTCCGACTACGTTGGAGGAAAACTGTGCATTAACAGCACGGCAGATGATAGCCTTAAATGCATCTCTCATGGCTACTTGGTGTTCCCGATGTGCTCCACAATGTAAACACACACAATTTCCGATCGATCTTAGTGCATTACCAGCGCCGACGGCGCAACAAAAAGCATCATGGAAAAACGATTTGCTAAAAAACCATTTCAATATGTCCTTGCCGCATGATTTTGCTGCAAATTATGATGCCTACATGGACGCCAGTTATTTACGAGTGACTGTAACATGTGCTAGTCCATATGTAACAACACATAAACAACAGGCTAAACTAACGCTCATTGATACATTTTCGGCTATCGGAGGTCAAACTGGACTGTAAGTAAAAGCTTCTTCTTTTTGACAATATTCTATTGTAATAAGTTAATTGAAGGTGGATTGGTCTTAGCCTGCTAAGTTTAATGGAATTTTGCGAGTTGATCTATCGATTAATTATGAAACAAATTACACTATGGCGATATCGGCGAACCATAGGCACAGAAGTGCAAGCGAAATCATTGACGACTACAATCGAAAGTGTATCAAATCAATTACAATAAGAAACGTAAACTTTTTTGAACTGACAAATGTGGATTATTTTTCAGATTTGCTTCGATTTTAATGCCCTAATGAGACTTCTTCTCATGCAAAACACAACATTCGAGAGTGTGTGAACATTTTTCTATTGAATAAATATAAATATTTTGACTGATTCTTGCTAGCTAATAAATTAGCGGATGGAAGACTCTAACATATAACGAATTTAAATCAGCTCTGTATGAGTCTTCGTAAAACATGATTAAAAAATTTAAACAATATGGTTGTAGACTTAAAATATGCAACATAATCAAACTATTTTAATCATAAATGAAGCGATATTGACTTAAATAAAAGTTTATGATGTAGTTCCAAAAGCAACAATTCAAGAAGTCTGTCATAGATTATGAATAGCGCCGGAGAAACTTCGTCTTTTTTTAAGTTTAACATTTCAAGCACTCTCAAGAACAAAAAAATCGTGATGAAATTGAAAATCTGATATTCAAAAGAATTTGGCAACTTCAAACAAATCTAGAGACTTGAAACTTCTACAAAATATGACAATTCCATCAATATGAAGCTCAGATGTGACAGGATCGTCAAATCACCATGTAAGAACAGTGATCACGGTCTGCTACAAGGGCATTCTATATGTCACGATCTGTGGATCAGTGTTGAAATGAATATAAAAATCGAAGTCTTGAGTATTCATTAAAAAAATAGAAAAATGTATAAGATTCTATAGACATTTATATAAAAACTATGTTTCTGACAGACTAATAAACAAAATGTGTTAATTACCATTTGTACAAACTCATAGACAATTCCAGTTTGAAAAAGATGAAGAATAAAATAAACTAATATTAATTCTATGCGAATCGTTTTTGAATCAACTCATCATCTACCCAGCACTCATATTGATCAAGATTTTGAGTTTTCAAATTGTTGAGTTCTGCCGCTTCTTGTGCCACATTGTGATTCATTTGTTCATAAGATAAATTTTTTCTTATTGTCATATCTACTTGACGATGATCAGTTGCCAAGCGTCGAACTGTTCTACTTTGTGCTGTCAATCGATTAAATATTTCTTCTAGTTTTTTATTTGTTTCAGTTTGATCTATTCGACGTTGATCAAGATTCATGATGAAATTGTTCTTGATTCTTTTGAATGCATTGCATTGTTTATTTTTCTCATCATAAGTATTTGTTACTCGCTTCAAATTTTCTTGGCTATTATCTCTTTCGATTTTCTTTTTATCAACAAGATCTTTGATAATTTTTTTTTCATTAATCTTTCGTTCGATATGACGATCGAGCTCATGCTTACGAGTATTGATACTAATTATCTGTTTATCAGTGTTTTTTAATGCTAGTTGAGTCGTATCGAATTGTTCCTTATGAGAATTATATTTCTCTTGAGTCTTATTCAGTTGTAATCTTTTTTGATTGATTTGTGATTGTAAATCAGTTAGAGTCTCTTGTTTTTGATTGAGAAGATGTTGTTGTTCATTGATTTGACGAGATAGATGATTTATATCATTTTCATGTTGTTGTTTTTCTCGTTGTTGTGTTAATAATTTAGCTTGAATTTTATTATGTTCTTCGTCCAATATTCCTTGTTGTTTTTGTGCACCACGTAATAATTGTTGTTGTTCAGCTAAATCATCTTCTAAATCAAAAAGAGATCTAGAAATTTTAGCTATATTAGTTCTAATATTTTCCATATTATTATTTGCTCTCTGAAGTGTAACATTCTGTTCATCAATCATGTTCTGTTGTTGTTGAATTTGTTGTTCATTATTTTTAAGTTCATCAAGTTTACTAGTTAGTTGTATCTGCTTTTGTCTATTTTCATCTTGTTTTGTTAGATATTGTTGTTCTATACAACATGATTGTTCTTTCAATTGACTTAGATCATTATCAGATTGTTGAATCATATGTTCGAATTTCTCGATTGATTGGTTCATTGACTCGACGTCTGTTTTCAATGTTTCTATTTTTTTCGTTTCTTTATCTACATCAGATTTCACTTTGCATTCTTTATCATTTTTGTCTTTGATTTGTTTTTTGACTTGTTTGCATTCTTTAGATAATCTATTCCAGTGACCATTGACTTCGTTAATAGTAATTTTCTGATTTTCAATTTTGGTTCTTAATGCAATAGATTTCTCTTTTTGATTTGCAAGTTGTTTTTCTTTTTGTGTCAAATTATCTTTGGCTTCTTGATGTTCTTGTCGAGTCGAATTTACTAAAGTTTGAGCGTCAAGATAACATTTTTCTCGAATAGCTAAAGCTCGTGTACAGTTGTCTAAAATAGTTTTCAATTGATTGACATCTCTTAGACAATGTTGATAATTGTTATGGGCTTTATCGATTGCATCCGGATCTTTCACTTGGGCATTTTCTGCGATTTTTAATTTCTTTTCAGCTTCATCTAGTGCCAATTGTGCATCATATAGATTGGTTTCTGCTTGATTTTGATCTTTCATAGTCATTAATTGATCATTTCGAGCTGCTGCTTCTTGATTTTGGCTTTGTATTAGTTTCTGTTCATATGAACGCATTTTCTTATTTTTCTCTGTTACATCTCGTTCATCTTTACGTTGTCTTGCAATTTCGACCCGTAGTTCTTGTATTAGTCGTTGTATTGTTTGTTTTTCTTGCTCCAATTGAGATTTATATTTATCTCGTTCAGTAGTCAAGCGTTCAAAATTAGAATTCAGTTTTTGCATTTCATCTTGAAGATTTTTCAAATATTCAGTAAGTTTTACTAATGTCTTTTCAGTTCTTATTAATTCGTCATTTTTTAGTTGAAGTCGTTGAGAAACTTCTTGTCGATTTCTCTCAATGTTGATTCGTTCCTGAGTTTTTACTTGCACTTTATTCCTGAAAAATATAATTACTTTATCTAGTTTATGTCGCGTTGTAAATCAATCAACATTGATCAATAATGAATACATATTGGGCAGACACGAATGATTAAATATAATTTTATGCGATTTTTTTGCTGTCATTTTTTAATCTTTCATATACTTGGAAATTTTATCTCTAAGGAAAGTTTCGATCATAGAAGGTCATACTTATGATTGTTTACCATTCTTTAATGTCTAGATATAGAAATAAGCCGATAAATGAATTAATTATTTTTTCAATAGTGTTAAATAATTATCTATGTGGAAAATATTTTCTTCACTAAATTTTATTTGTTTATTTCATTCTCAATCTTAATAATTTGAATTGAAATTGCGATTTTTTTTATAGGAGAGAATAAGCTATGACCATTTATTTTGTCTGAATTTCTGATACATAAAAAATAGATTTCGAAGTTTAAAAACTTATGCCTTAACAAAAGAAAGAAGGAAACCATAAAGAATACATGAGTTTTCCTACCATATTTTGCGCATTTACTACCAATTGCTCAAAAAAACTATGTTCCATCATCCTAAATTGAACTCAAAAAAAGACATAAAATGAACCACAATAAAGATCTACGTAATAGTAATTGATATAAGAGCAATCGAGATAGTCAACCAATTTCAATTATCTTGTTGTAATAGGTTGATTTTTTCATTAGAACTATTCGAGGACAAGTAGCTAGACAAAAAATCCTGTTTCATATGAATACTATAAAGCTGAAGCAATACCAAGAATAATACTACTCGAATTGCTGAAAGTAATTGTAGAATTGAATGTCACATTACATGTTTGAAACTAGAAAGACACATTGAGTCTATCTATTAGTTACTAAACATGAGAATAGGCCTCTACATCAGTAAAATCCTCACTTTACCGCTATTTATTATCATTCTATGTTGCAGACATATGTATATATTTTTGTTTTAAAATGTTTTTATCTAGAAACTTCTTTTCTTTTTCGCTTACTTTCAAATTTCAAAGACATTTTTGGGTTTTCATTGAATTTGAAATCCTAAAGTCGGAGTCGAAAAACTTCGCTTCATCTCAATTATAGATTAATTCTTCGAGTGTCATGATAAAGAGATTACCAAGAAGAAAACGACTGACTTTAATGACTTTAAAAAACATACATCCCTGGACAAAAGTCTTTCCCTTTCTTTCTTTGTATACNACCATGGTTGATAGTTATATCTCTAGTTATAACCATTTTAACTTTTTCCGATTTTCTCAACTTTTAACTTTTTCAAAAAACAGTTTTAACTCCCACACTGTAATACACTGAAAGAGTCAAATGATTAGAACCTTAAATATTTTCTAACGCATGCTTCATGTGCCCGTCTTAAATCTTTTTGTGAATCGATTTTATTTTATTTCTATTAAAAAGGTACTGGTAAATCAGATATATTGAGTAAATTGGCAAAAAAAATGGGTATTGTAATGGTAAGTCCACCATTAGCAGCTGGTGAATTGAATCGACCACTTGTTGGAGAGAGTGAACGCATAATAATTGCATTATGCTCACGTTGTTATCAAATACCTTATGCTATGTGTTGTGTTTCAATTGATGAAATTGATTCATTAGCACCGAAACGTGATCAAGATTCAAGTGAAGGCAAAGTAGATAAGATCTCTGTGCTTTTATCTCTAATTGAAGGTATCAAAGATATACCCAATCTAATGATCTTAAGTGCTACTAATCGTTTACATATGATGGATGAAGCATTTTTACGTCGTATGTCAGGTAAATTTTTTGTTTGTCGTCCATCATCAAATGCACGTCTTAGTATCCTTCGAAAAATACCATTTTGGGCGCTTGAACCAGAAGTACTCGATCGACTTTCAATTGCTACAACAAACTTTAGTGGAGCTGCTGTCAAGTAAGTATTTTGTTATAGATCTTTTCTGTTGTTTATTATGAATGAATAGAGCATTGACTCGAGCAATCACTGTTAAATGTATTAAAATGAAGTGTTCAGAACCGATGGCTGAAAGTGAAGCACTTCAACTAGCCAATCTTATAGCTCAACAATATCAAGTATTTATTGATAGTGAAACATTACCTAGTTTACTTTTACGTAATCAATTTATTGAAACTAATCATCATATTCATCAATTACCAACAAGTTTGAAGTATACAGGACGTATGATTGTTGATTTACAAAATCAACGTATACGTATCGAATTAATTACAAAAAAAGTTAATACAAACAATAATCAATTATCAGTTGTCGAACGTAAATTATATCCAAATGAAACTAACGTTCAAACTCTACTTGAACGTTTAACAGCATATGGAAAGAATCGTAACGTTCAACTTCTTCAATTAATTGATCTTAATTTACTTGCTTCACAAGGTGCTTACGATGAAAGAAAAGTTTATGAAACATTAAAAGATCGTTATGATGAATGTGTTTCTTATTCACGTTCAATGATTGTCTATGATCTAGATGCATTAGTCGGTATAAATAAATCACAATCATATTCGAATATGGGTCAATCAATTTCATGTTCAGTACACAATCGAAGTATATATACATATGTACTTTCTCGATTTCGTGATCGAACTATGGAAGATATTCAAGAAGATAAAATTGATAATGTTGAACGATGGGCAATAGCTGTAATTCGTGAACCATTTCTGTTACGTCAATTTTCTGAAGAAGCACAATTTCTATTTAAAAAAATGTTCTTTTAAGATATATATGAAATCATTAACTGGATTATTATAACTATTATTAGTTTATAACATGGACATCAAAGAACAAAAATCGATAAAGTGTATTCTCAATCTTAATAGAAATATCTATTAGTAAACATGATACAATAGTCAACAGTTGAATAAAAAAACGGTATAAATTGCTTCAACGTAATGTTTTCTTCTGTTCAATACAATTCACGACAATGCCATCATCTTCTTCTTTAGCTGCATGTGCTTGATGGTCATGCTTATCATTATCATTGTCGGATTGTTCAATAATATAGTGATCATATTGATTCCGCTCATCTTCTTCATGTTCGTGGTTTTTATTTATGTTTACATTATAATCATTCTTATCATCGTGAATTTCAGACGATTGTGCATTACATTTCATGAGGTCATCCTAAAATGATGATATTTACCCGATACATGATCATGAAATTAGATTCTCACTTGTTCACGAAGTCAGGGTGGGTNCTGAATTTCTGATACATAAAAAATAGATTTCGAAGTTTAAAAACTTATGCCTTAACAAAAGAAAGAAGGAAACCATAAAGAATACATGAGTTTTCCTACCATATTTTGCGCATTTACTACCAATTGCTCAAAAAAACTATGTTCCATCATCCTAAATTGAACTCAAAAAAAGACATAAAATGAACCACAATAAAGATCTACGTAACAGTAATTGATATAAGAGCAATCGAGATAGTCAACCAATTTCAATTATCTTGTTGTAATAGGTTGATTTTTTCATTAGATCTATTCGAGCACAAGTAGCTAGACAAAAAATTCTGTTTCATATGAATACTATAAAGCTGAAGCAATACCGAGAATAATACTACTCGAATTGCTGAAAGTAATTGTAGAATTGAATGTCACATAACATGTTTGAAACTAGAAAGACACATTGAGTCTATCTATTAGTCACTAAACATGAGAATAGGCCTCTACATCAGTAAAATCCTCACTTTACCGCTATTTATTACCATTCTATGTTGCAGACATATGTATATATTTTTGTTTTAAAATGTTTTTATCTAGAAACTTGTTTTCTTTTTCGCTTACTTTCAAATTTCAAAGACATTTTTGGGTTTTCATTGAATTTGAAATCCTAAAGTCGGACTCGAAAAACTTCGCTTCATCTCAATTATAGATTAATTCTTCGAGTGTCATGATAAAGAGATTACCAAGAAGAAAACGACTGACTTTAATGACTTTAAAAAACATACATCCCTGGACAAAAGTCTTTCCCTTTCTTTCTTTGTATACTATCATACTTTGCATAAAATTTATTACCAAATAATGATATGGTATAAGAGTTTTATTTCAATGTGATAAAACCACACTGAAATAAAACTCTTATGTCCCATCTTTACCTGATAATAAACTTGGTGTTCATGGGAAAGACTTTTTTTTTGGGAGTGTAGATGAAGTTATTAGCGGATTCGAATAATTTTAGTGGAGATTCATGCAAAAGCCTGTTCTAGAGCTCTTAGTCAGTGTTCTAAGTGCAACTAAGCTAGCTCTATCCAGTAGTATAATTAGATTTCCAATAAGCCAATCTATGTTTCCCAAAGGTCCAAAATACTGGTAGATCATTATAAGAGTTTTGGAACTACTATAGTAAATATGCAGTGACTTGTCTAAGAACCTTGGCACAGATTTCTATTCTTGCCCAAGTGTAACTTAACGAGCTCTACCCTATAGTATAATTAAAATTTTCATTGTTCAAATAACTAACGAAAATTAGTAGCCTATACAAGTATTTCTTCCTAGTTTTCACTTCTGAATCTGTACTGTCTCTATGGTTGAGAGTAATGGATGCAGAATTCGGTTCTCTGTTGAGTGTGGGTGTGAGTATGCTGATAGTAATGCTTTCAATGACAATCACACTCACACTCTAGTTGTAACAAAATGATGCCCATTTTATGATGCATATAAAACAACTATGGCAATGTACAGTGAGTCCATTCATTTCAATATTCGTGTAGCTGGAACGAATTAAAATGAGAAGTGTTCAAGAGATATACTACAGTAGATACTAATGCAGAGAGTCGAAGGCGAGATGAACTTTTTTGCTGTGCAGATCGTTATACCTTTTTCTGGGATCTGTTCTCGCCTTATATCATGTTTTTCTGCGTATTCCATCGGCTCTCGACTATTTCCCTCCTAATTCCCATTTTCTCTGCCGTACTATTTGACCTGTAGAAAATATAATTTTTTCATAAATTAGAGCTCATTGGATTGTTATTTAAAAAATGATGCAAGTTTTGGATCGAGACTCGGGGCAAATTCTACACAAGAATACTGAAATGTAAAGTTTATTGATAAGCGAGGGTGTCCGTATTTCGAGATTTTTCGAACATTGCTTGAGCTATGAAAAATTTAATGATACCATGAAATAGAGCTTGTCGAATTATATTTGAAACACTGACCAGAAGGTCTAGAACATGTTCTTGAGCGAATTTCCGATGGAATTACTCGAATTTACTGCTAACTTTAACTACGTCTTGAATCTTAAGGAATGCTGCGTCATCTGAACCGGCAAGCTGACCGATAAGATTGCAAAAGTCATCATCATGATAGGTGAACACGTCGAAAGCAATACTTTAGGGTCCACAAATAATCTTCGCGGACCCATAAATTTAAAAGTACTATTAATATAAAATTAAAAAATGATGCGTACACTCCTGAGCAAAAGTCTCCCCATCTACCCTTCTCCGCTCTTTTTTTCTGTATTGTATGTTCAATATCGAATTTCTTGAGAATCTGTCAACAGAAGTGAGCACTTTATTTTGTACACTCTATCACTGATCACTATGTGATTCATTCAAGGTTTCACAGGAATTATCATACTATTGACCAATGCAACAACAATCCACACTTACACCCCTAGTTCGCCGTTTTATATAGCTTACGATCGTTTACAGTGCTATTTTCTCGTACCGCGACAATGAAGAATGATGAATGCTCTAGTGATTATGTCAGACGAACAGCAAACAATAAATTTTAATAACAACTTAGCAATAATGCAAAATTAGATGATCATTAGACAATTTGTGTTTACTTATCAGAACTCATTAGCGAAAACAAATTAATAGAGAATAGAATGTCTTATAGACGTTGTGCTTTACAACATGGTCCAAGTGAATGCAGTTCTACTGGTCTCGGGCCAGAAAACTCTGAAAAATTGTAGGAAGTTGGAAGCAAGAATCTAGTGATTGGATTCGATGACTGGATTTATTAATTTCCTATTTAAATTGGACAGAATCAACCATCTGAATACGATAATCTTATCCTAATTTCAAATTTCTATCATTTTTCGGACTTTTTCTGGATCGGAACGATACTTTTTCTACAGGTTTCCGCCAGAATCATTAACCTGAGAACTAGTCTATCATCGAATAAAGCTATCAATTGATACAACAAACATCGGGAAAAAGTCTTTAGAGAAATTAAATGAAGAAAAAAATGACTTAATAAATAGTTACGATCTTTCAAAGCCGTCAAAGGTTGTTCAATGGAAGTAGTATAAAATGAATTCGATTTTTAGACCTCTTGATGATCAACATCATATTAGCTTCCACTATTGAAAATGCTTCATTCGAAAAGTTTCAGAAATGATTAAATTCAGATTTTTCTATTGTTTTACATACTCGAGACTTTGCTTTTGTTGAATTAATTGTTGCATTTGTCTCTCCTCTTCTACAAGCATTTGTTTCAATCTATTCACTTCAACTCGACTTTGCTTAGTAATATCTTGTAATGATGTCATTTTTTCTTGAATTGTAATGAGCTCTTGTTTTGCTTGAGTTATTTCAACTTGAGCTTGATTTTGCTCAGCTTGTAATTGTTGTTTGTATTGATTATATTCGTTCAATCGATTTCTTTTCATGTCAATTATTTGCTCAAAACGTCGAATCATGTTTTCAATTTTTCTAATATCAGTTTCAAGACGATCACGAGCCGATTTGTTTGCACTCAATTGTTGTTCAAGTTCAATATGTTGTTGTTCAATTGTAGTTAATTCTTTTTCGAATTGACGCATATCATTTCGAAGTTGATTCATTTTATTTTCAATTTGACGAATTTCTTTCGTCGAGTCATTCAAACTTATTTTCAATTCTTCTTGTTGTTCTTCAAGCTTTTGAATCTGTTGAAGAAGTTCTTGATGTTTCTTTTCTATCTCTTGGCATTTTTGTTTTAGATCTTTCGATTGTTCTTCTAAAAGAAGTTTTTCTTCGGCTAATTCGTGTAATTGTGCTTGATATTGTTCAAGTTCATCTTCATTTTTGTCTAGTCGCTCTTTTAGATGAACATATTCACTCTCTTGTTGTCGATATGTTTCTTCGAATTGTAGTTTTTCATCACGTAAAGTTTCAAGTTCTTGTTCGATTCGTTCGATTTCAGAATTTCTTTGTCTCAATTCTTCATCGAGTCGACGCATTTCAGTTCGATGTACTTCCGCTTCATGTTTATATTTTTCCATGTCATCACCTAGTCTTGATTCTATACTTTTAGCATTGTTTAGCTTTTCTTTCAGATTCTGTTTTCGGTTTTCAAGCTGATGTATTTGTTCTTGTTCATCCAATTGTTCATAATTTCCGCCTGTGGCAACTGATGTCACTCTTGTCCCTAATATATCATCCATACAGCTAGTCATTATTCTAACAGAGAATATACAAATGATAAGACATTTTCACTCTTATTTATAAGTGTCGTTTAAGAGGTGTAATTACTTTGGAAATAAAACTCAAATAAAAAGGAGTCATACATTGGGTGGGTTTTTTTCGCCCCAAATCTTTTCAATTATTTTCTTTGTGACACACCAATGACGCACACACAAAATCAATAGCAGAACAAGGTAAAAATAAACGAAAAAAAGCATGATTATGAGACATCCACTCTGGCATGTGAACAATCGTCTTGTCCTTCGAATGTGTTCTCTTTCTCCTCGTTTTAATTGATTATTTCTTGTTTTCATTACTTTCTAAGAATAACGCGAATATGTTAATCATTTAATGTAGACAATTTTCAGCAACTGATGGCGTTTGAAGGATAACTCACATGATCATTATCTCTCTAGAGATAATTACGGCTAACGAATGTATCTTTCAAAAACGAGTTTTATCGGAAATTGAACAATCTATATATGTGAAAAATGAGAAGTTTTGAATCTATCCTAAAAGCGGTCGAATCTGGATTTAACAAAACTTAAGTTCTTCTAAAATATTTTCTTGAAAACCACTTTCTCTAGTTTTTTTCAAAGTCTGCCGTTCTAGAATCACAGCCAAAATTTTTTTATATGACTTAGCAAATTTGTTTTTGTAATCCATTTCTTTCTATATTAGAAACTTCCAACTCTTTTCTTGAATCTTTCATATATTCAGTCGGTCATTGTTAGCTCGTTTCAACGAGCTTGTTTATTTTATTTCCAAAAAGAGAAGTGTGTATATAAATGTCCTTAACAACACGAACATATACATTGCGCAATACAAGAGAGAGAGAAGAGAGAAGAAAAGAAGGAGAGACAACAATAACAATGGAGAATAAAGAGAGAGAGAGAGATAGAAAAACATCAAGGGGCAGGAATGAGGGTGAATCACCGCTAACAGTCATCATTCTATCATTGAGTACACAATCAACAAAAGAGTTTTTTTTTGTTTTTCTTGTGTCATCAAGGTGATGAAATAGCCTTGGATAAAAAAAAAACCACAATAATCAAGAGTCATATAATGCTCCATATTTCTTCAAGTAAATTTGCACAGTTATTTTAGTTGAGATTTACCAAGTGATGTAGATAAGAGTAAATAACAGAGCCAAATAAAAGAATTTCAAAATATCTTATAGAATTGAGCAAATATTTGCCCTTCTGAGTCAAGGAGGGGAAAAAAACATGACATCAATGCTTCGATGTACTGAACTCGCATTATTGTTTTCAAGGTGTGAGTTTCTTCGTTTGAAGAAGGAAAATTTTCTGTCGTTTTTGTCGAAGCATTTGTTAATAGTTGTATGAAAGTAGATATATATAGAGTTGAGATCTACAGAAGAAAAAATCGATAGGCAAACAATGACAGATGATCAATGGATTTCAATCGTGAATTATTTGCAGCCTAATGGATGTTTTAATTATGAAAATTTTGCAACTATTCGTGACCAATATCAACAAGAATGTGGTGGATCATTTCCTTCGTTGCAGAATGAATCTGCACTTAAAAAAGTAGCACAAAAACTTAAAATCAAAATTGATACTAATAATAATTTTGAATTATTATGTGATTGTGTCCTATTGTCAAATGCTGATGATTCTCAATCACTAGTACAGAGTGGATTACATGGCGCAATACAACCACATAATGAAGTCACTTTAGAAAAATCGAATATTTCTTCACCAAAAATGTTTCCACTTGCCACTATGACTAATGGTATGAAGAAACTATTTTTCTATTACATGAATATTTCAACTCATTATTTTTATAGAAACATAGATTTCCACAAGGAAAGAAGCACTAAAAAGTTTTCTTTAGAAAAATTAAAAATAAATTTTTATTATATAAAATTTACCCATTGACTAAAATTATGGATCTACTATTTAATTCAGAAATTCCGTATTTACCCCACACAAAATTCTTCTTGAAACTTTGAGAAATGATATGATTGCCAATAGGAAACATTGTGTCATTCGCTAACTCATGTAATTGATACATGGAAAATAGTACGAAAGTTAGAGACACTAAATTGTGGTCAAAAATTTATAAGATTTTTATTTCAATATGAAACAAATCTTACGTTTGAGTCGATAAAAATAAGTGAAGAGTGATTGAAAGAGGAAAGCATTATATACATAAATCTAAGAAGTACTAAATTCTACTGTCATCTTAAGGTTCATCTCCATCGAACAGTGACGACAATACAAAGTTTCTTATTGATATTGATTGTTTGGTGAACATCAAAATGACTTTCTCTGAAGTATCCACTTTCATTCAGTCATTCTTACTGCAACCAATTTCTCAATTAGATCAATCATTACAAGCGTAATAAGAGTTTTGCCTTTTCTTTTCTTTCGAATAACTTGTTCTTCTTACGTAGTCCTACAAAATCAACATCGAATTCGATTACTGACCAGCAACCATTTGTTCTCGATGTTAAGTGCCCACTCTACTTATTCATTCGAGAACAAATGTCTAAATATCCTGCTGTCATATCAGCTAGTCATTCCAATTCGACTCGTTTTCGTCTCGTCGAACCGATTCGATTGAATGATGAATTCGATAGATGGGAATATGATCATTTACGTGGTCTGTTTGAATTGGAGCTTGAACCTCATGGTAGCAACACTCGATTTCCAACTCGATGGCATTTAGCTGATAATGTTTCGATCTACTGTCGTATCAATACCATTAATTCAAGTGAACAAAACGCGTCATCGTCACATTTCGATAGATTACACACGGATTCCCTTGACGCATTTGTTCAGGATGTTTGTGCACACGAGAATAATAATCGAAGCAATGAGTGGTTAAAAGCACTCAGAGATGCAGATATATTGCACTTTGAACATTTGACCAGTCTAGATCGAACGGAATGGGATAGAATTCCCGGATTGACCGTGAACGCAAAGCGAATATTGAGAGCAGAAGCTGATCGACATCGAACAAGTACTGTCGGAGAACAACGTCGACAAATTACGAATAATTCTGAAGATGAAAACAAAGAAGAGATTGAGCATCTTGCTACATCAGGTTTGTCGATCAAAAATGATTTGATGCATAATCAGTTTGTTTGTATATTTCAGAGAATTTATCAACTTCTATCTCTGAACTTTATGCTAATATACATTTGATTAAATTATATATGTGGCATGTATTACGTGATCAACCAGCAGTAAAACGTTTTGGCAATTTAGCTAAAATTGAAACAAAATGTTTAGATGCAGCATTCGAAGAGATGAAATTTGAAGGTTTTGCCGATGACGGCTTATTTTCGAGAATGAAAGAATTTTTTCTTCCACTCACTATTTCTCAACAAGAATTTCATATACATTGGTCATCGGACGGACGTATTCAACGTACTTGGTTAGAACGACGTGATAAGTTACGTGAAAATCTCAAAGAACTCGAAACGAAACTTAAGAAAGAGATAAAAGCCTATCGGACATGCTATGAGGAAATTAGTAAAGTAGAGGAAAGTATTAATGATGAACAGCAACATTATTCTAGCAGAGTAGAAACGTTGAATTCAAAAAATAACAATACTAAACAAATACGAACCATCAATCGATTGCTAGAATCCGTACGGAGGTCAAAAAAGCCGAGTAAAGAACAAGTTGAAGCTCTTCGTCAAGCACATAGAGAATTTGAAGAGCATAAGTCCGATCTACTTCGAAAATTGGATAAGTTAACGGAAATGAAAAATGCTATTCAAATGAAAATCACGGATTTTGAGACACAAATTGAAGAAGAAAAGGCACGTTTGAATATGATCGAAACGAAATTGAACACACCTCAACAACCTGTTGATAATCAATTAGTCAAACCTCCTCGAGGTCTCATTCTTCATGGCCCTCCTGGTAAGTTGAAGAGCTTTCTATGTTTCAGAAATCGAAAACGTTTATAAGTCGTCTATCTGCTAGTAGGCAGTTTTTTTGCGATTTTCACAGTTGCATAAAATATTTTGATCGATTTGAGTTTTTCACTATATTCATCAAACCTTTCACTGAAAAAAAAAGATCATATTACCCATATCGACTAACTTAGAAAAAACTTCTTAGATTTTGTTGACAAAAGCATGAAGTAATACTCCACATTTTCTAATCTTGTTTTTCATGATGCTTTCTAGAGATTTTTATGATTTTCAAAAGATTTTGTGAAAAAGTCATAAACAGAAAACGTTTAGTCAATTTTAGTCTTTGCAGTCGTGTACCTTTGCCTACACGTTTCTGATTTGGAGAACATACTTCGCGTGCTCTAGCAAGTGCGCTTCATGAATCGCACTATGCAGGAAAAAAATCTGGATTTCTAAAGTTCGACTTTGAGGATTTTACTTAAAACGAGTTTTTTTTTGTTCGTGTGTCTCAGATTGCTCAGCCATTTTACATGCTAGAAAGCTCAACAACTTAGCAAAATCCGATTTTTCATTTTTGATTAAGCCTTTGAGAACATGAAAATCAGGCTTTATTACGTTGTAGCGGCAAGTGTTGACTATATCTTGACGGCAACCCGAAATCTGTATTATTAGCTTTGGGAGGGGAATCTAGAATGTCTGGAGACCTACTTTTTTATCCTTAATATGGGAATTACTCTTGAACAACTCAATATCTCAAACTGGATTTTTTTATCGTACGCTTTTTAGGTCTAGGCTCATATTTTCTGAGATTTTCAACTAAATCGGTTGCTTCGGAACGAAACTAGATTTTTGACTGTGTGGATACTTAATATGCCGCGAGTGGAAAAATCAATGAAGCATTGGGTATTTTCTAACGCAATGTCTCATGTATCATCTAGAAATGTTTGATCAAGCACTATTTCACAATTATAAGATATTTATCATACTAGAAAACTAAAAAAACGATTTTTTTGTGCCCTTCTCAAATCTTCTTATGAATAGATTTTATTCTATTTTATTTATATTAAAAAGGTACTGGTAAATCAGATATATTGAGTAAATTGGCGAAAAAAATGGGTATAGTAATGGTAAGTGCACCATTAGCAGCTGGTGAATTGAATCGACCACTCGTTGGCGAGAGTGAACGGATATTGATTGCACTATGTTCACGTTGTTATCAAATACCTTATGCCATGTGCTGTGTATCAATTGATGAAATTGATTCATTAGCACCTAAACGTGATGAAGATTCAAGTGAAGGCAAAGTAGATAAGATCTCTGTGCTTTTATCTCTAATTGAAGGCATCAAAGATGTACCTAATCTAATGATATTAAGTGCTACTAATCGTTTGCATATGATGGACGAAGCATTTTTACGTCGTATGTCAGGCAAATTTTTCGTTGGTCGACCATCATCAAAAGCACGTACTAGTATTCTTCGAAAAATACCTTTTTGGGCTCTTGAACCGGAAATACTCGATCGACTTTCAATTGCTACAACAAACTTTAGTGGAGCTGCTGTCAAGTAAGTAGTTTTTTAAAATTTCTTCAATAGTTTAATTTTAAATGATTAGAGCATTGACTCGAGCAATCACTGTTAAATGTATTAAAATGAAGCTTTCTGAACCGATGGCTGAAATTGAAGCACTCAAACTCGCCGATCTTATAGCTAAACAATATCAAATATTTATTGGTAGTGAAACATTACCTCGTTTGCTTTTACGTAATCTACTTATTGAATCTAATCATCATATTCATCAATTATCCGGAAATTTTAAATATACAGGCCGTATGATTGTAGATTTACAGAATCAACGTATACGTATCGAAGTAATTAAACAGAAAACAGATACAAAAAACAGTCAATTATCCGTTGTCGAACGTGCTTTAAATCCGAATGAAACCAATGTTCAAACTCTACTGGAACGTTTAACAGCTTATGGAAAGAGTCGTAATGTTCAACTTCTTCAATTAATTGATCTTAATTTACTTGCTTCGCAAGGTGCTTACGATGAGAAAAAAGTCTATGAAACATTAAAAGATCGTTATGATGAATGTGTTTCTTATACACGTTCAATGATTGTCTACGATCTAGATGCATTAGTCGGTATAAATAAATCAGAATCAAGTTCTAATATGGGCCAATCAATCTCGTATTCGGTACACAATCAAAGTATTTATACATATGTACTTGCTCGATTTCGTGATCGAGCTATGGAAGATATTCAAGAAGATGACACTGATAATGTTGAACGATGGGCAATAGCGGTGATTCGTGAACCATTTCTTTTACGTCAATTTTCTGAAGATGCACAATTTCCACGTACATATCAAGAACAAGAAGAATTACAGTTAGAACGACGCATGGCTGAAGAACTTATCAAATGTGTCAAATGTAAAGATTTCTATACTGAAAATGAAAATCGCATGGGTATGTTCATGCATAAATCATGTCTAGATAATACTTGCTGTTGGTTTTTGTTTCATTATAGGTAGTTGTGTTCATCATGATGGTTTTGTCTATGACAATGCAGCAGCCGATCTGACAACATATGCACCAAGTGGTGCAGCTAAGATCTTAAATAAACTCGAACATAAGGCTCTCAATGATACTAGTGAACGTAATGGATTTGAACGACAAAAAATAAAATTCAAATGGATTTGTTGCGATGAAACATTTACAACTGTATATAAAGGTGGTTGTAAGAAAGGTAAACATGGATTTTTTCTCAATGACAATGAATCGTTGGGCCGACAGGTAGACAATAAGCGAGTCAATCGACGTAAACAGGCAACGATAGAACAGTGGGAAGACTTTTGTTGTGCCAATGAAGAATATGATGCAAAATGGCAGTCATTATTGAATGATTATTGACTGTGTATTTTGTTTCTCTTAAATAAACAAGATCTTGAAACAATCTGTTCTTTTTAGTGTACTCAAAAAGTGAGTACACTACTAAAATCGGTCTGTGTGTCCGTCCGGTCGGCCGTTTACACGATAACTTTCGAAAGGAGAGTCAGATTGCGATGAAATTTTCTACACAGCTTAGTCTTGGCAATATCTCGGTCGAGTTCGAAGATGAGAAGGATCCGCCAAGAAATGGCTGAGTTATCGAAAAAATTGTGATTTTTGACCAGACCATCCCTAAGGGGGGGGGGNGGAGCTGTATTTCCAGGTGTATAAAATGTTGATCGAGCATTCGTAAAACAAAAAATAATATTATTACGAGCTGTTGGATCAAGAAGAGAAAATAATTGAATAAGACATGTACGAAAAAAGATATTTAATCTTGATGCATTTGGTTTAAGAAGAAAACAAATAGCATTCAAATGTGTAAGATTATTGATATATTGTAAAGTATGTTCCATATTTCGATCATCTTGATCAAGACCTCGTGTATCACCAAAACCAGGTGTATCAATAATACGCACCTTTCTTCCGTCACTATTATTAAGATCAAATACATAAGATCTACAATGTTGTGTTACAGATTGACCGATAGTGTTGAAATTTTCATTGTTAAAACTATCGAGTTCACCAAATTTGACTATTCGTTCTTCAAAATTATCACCAATTGTCATGATAAATGAAACAGGAATAATTACAATGGGTTCACTTGATTCTGCTTGTTCAAATGAATTGAATATGAGATAGTTAGCAAAAGCATTGATAAAGGTTGATTTACCCACTCCAGTTTCACCAAGAAGAAGAATATTAATAGTATCATCGTTTGGTACTGGCGGTGATGAAGATAATGGTGAAGTTGAAGAAATCTCAGGGGCACTAACTTGAGAGGATAGTCTTTGCTTGAAATGATTTTCACTATGATCGATTTTATCTGATGTCGACATTGTCACATACCATTGTGGCAATGAAGAATGATGAGCATTAGTATGTGCAGGAGGTAATGCAGAGCTGCTGTTGTCTTTTATAGTTGTTTTTTTGTGTAGATTGGTCAAGCTCAATTTACTTTTTTCTTTTAGCGGATCATTGGAGCCGAGATTTCGATTATGTGAATCACTATTGATCAATGAGTATTTATCAGTAATTATATTATCGCTTGTACTCGAGTGACGCTCTGTTGTTGTGAAAGACGCAAAATGTTTTTGTTGCAGATTTGTGTTTACAAGACCTTGTGTTGTTAAATTCTCAAGGTTTTCAATCAGCTGATGAATACTTTCTTTCAGTTTTTCTAGTTCGCCATTGTGTAGCGCTTGATTAATTTTGAAAATTTTTGCTGGACGATTGCGGGCATCAACTACAAGTGTAGCAAATCGATGCATCTCGTGCATATATATATCTTTCACCTTTAAAAATTGAGTCGAAGTTTCATTAAAAAGTTGCTGGTGATGTTTACAAAGGGATTTTGTTTGATTTTCTTTCAAAGATGCTTCTAAATATTTCATTCGACTTCTACATTGGAGCATATAATGTTCAAGATCATTTATCAGTGTAAAGGATAGAGTTGTAAATTCCGGCGCTTTTCTTTCATGTGCATGACATAACGATGCGATCGTTTGAAGGATATAAGTTACTGGACAACAGAGCTTACTATGGTTCTTAATTAGTTCTATGTGAGATAGAAGATCAGAAATTTTGGTTACACCAGTCAGCATAGATGCATTCGAGTACACTTTTAACTTGAGAAAGTTTTCAAGTAAATTGTTTTCTTTAGGGGTCAAGACCACACGATACTTTTTTTCATTCAAAAGTATGTCACGAATTTTCCTAAGTATAGAATGGATTTTGTCATAAATATCAGCTTGTGATGGCAACTGTAGAATCATAACAAGATCGATTCCAAAGCGTATACCAGTGATCACATGAGTAGCAGTAACACGAGAACTCCATTGTTTACTGATTTCTTGAACTCCTAGTAGTTTTCTGAGTGTTTGTTCATGCTTTATCCAAGAATAATAGAAAAAGCAAGTGTACTGATCTATGGGATGAGAATAATCGAGAATTTCTGCAATTCCAGATCTTTTTGCTAACTTCAATAATAAACTTAATCTCAATTCTGGTTCAATATCCACACATCGCAGAATATTGAAGTTTGAGGCTGCAATGTTATTAATAACTTCACATTGTGTTGGTTTAGATGATGGTAACCATTGTTCTTGATGATTGCTCAATCCTGATTGATCAATTACCTGATCTCGAACACCATCATAGAGAGAACCAAGACATCTGGCTGGATTAATAGCCCTACGCTCGATGACATCGGATGGTTCTTTGCTTGAAGTTTTACTAATTGATTTGGCCATATTCTTCAACTTCGTCAATTCCAATCACTAAAAATATCCTAAATAAAAATGCATTAAATTACTTTAATTAAAAACAAATTTCGAAAAAGATTTAGTTCCGTGTAAAGTGAGATAAAAATATGAATCAAAGAACATCATCTATTAAGGTTTAAGTGATGATGAATGTGGTTATTGCAAACACTGCCGACCAATTTTAATTAGTCAGTGTGTACAACTAAGGCATCTACATACCATTATATTTGTGAATGGAAAATTAGTCTTCCAAATCACGATAAATTCTGAAAAGAGAATTTACATGTAAGAAAGAATAAATAAATCATACTGGTATTACAAGATGTTTTAAATTCTTTAAACATATGATTTTATTATTACTGTTTGAAAAAAATTACTTTTTTCGTATCGTTACTCTTAAAGATGGTGTACAAGAAAGTTTTTTTTATTCCCTGTTGAGAGACTTGGAATGAAATTAACAAAAAAAAACTTTCAATTTCGAAAAAAGACATTCTTATATCTAACAAATAAATGCCACCATTCCATTACTTCCTACATACCTTCACATCAGTTGTTTGTCAACACTTTTAATGCTGAGAGATTTGATAAAAGATGTGTTGCTTTGACTCCAATGAATATTACTTGACACACGTGTTTTTCTGCTGCTTCCTAAACAGGGAAGAAATGAGAAAAAAATGCATAGCTGTAATTTCATTTTAACGTTTTTAATAGAACGCAAAATTCTTATCGAGCCCACAGAGAAAATAATTTTTCTTTTTTGTCAAAGAAAAAACAATTCACTTGTTTTTCTTTAATCACATGCAAAGTAAAAAGTGTCAACTTTCTTCTAGTATATGCAAGTTAAATAAAACAAAAAGTTTCCAATTTAAGAGGAAGAATAAAATGTATTTCTTAATACAATAGTCATCAAAACACATATGAAATAAAATGTGTCAAATCAATATTCATTACCACAGTTATTAACTATTCTTATATAATACCCTTAAGCATATATTAAAAGAAGAAATTAAAAAACTCATAATTATTTATTCATCAATATATATTTTTATTTTTCGAGACAAAAAACGATCTACTAACACATTTTCAAAAACATATAATTTAATTCATCAGTATATTGGTGAATTATTTTGTTGCATTCTATCACCATATCCATTTCTCAAAAATTATTAATTAATATTTATTCTTACAGTTCTTAAAAAATATAAACTAATAAGCAATCTATTAGATGTAGAAACGTCTTGTGTATTAGATAAAAATAGGTGGATATATGTAGATTATAAGACAACTTCATGTTGTTTCATAATTTCTTTTTGTCCTTGTTCAATAGCAATCATTTGTTCGCGTATTTCTGAATAACTTCGAATAATCTTTATTTGATCATAAATAATAGCCAATGTCTTTCGATCTTGATTCGAAGCTACTTCATGCATTCGTTGTTCATATTCATGTTGAACTTTTTCTAATTCTCTGATTAATTGCATATTCATTTGATTAGATTCTTTTTTTGCACAAATATTTTTCTCTGTACGAATCATTTGCATTAAACCTAACATAAATTGATCATCTTTCGTAGAACAAGCACCATGAATAAGGAAATGAGAAAATTCAGCACTTGCAAAATATATTCGATGCAGCATATCATTTATATCATTTAGACGATAATTCGATGGATTATTTATAGCTCTATATTCTAATATATAATCAATTGGCATATGAACATTAGAAACACATGAACATGTGCGACATTTATTTTGAAATTCATGTGGAGAATCTAATGCAATCCAAAAGTGACCAATATCGACATAATGACGCTTGCGTGAGAAACAGACAGCGGTTGGACGTAGTGTAGGTTTAGGACATAGTTCGATTGATATATGTGACAGATTCATCTTAGATAAGATAATATTTCGTAGAATATTTCTTATAGTTTCTAATATTGGACGAATCATATAAGAGATTTCAAATTGAGCATGTTTAATTGATTACCATCCTTTGCCTATATGATATACGGTGAGTTCTTTATTAATGTAATCAATTAAACGATTAGATTCTTTTACTGAAGTTGACCAACTCATTTCATATTCATGTTTTTCTTCATGAGTGAACGAAATTCGATTTNCAAGAACTCAGAGTAATTACAAGTTTTTTTTCCCTAACACTGTATGTAAAGAAATGTTTGTTAGCAAAATTATGAAAAGTAATGTAGTTAATACTTCTATGGATTCTCGAGGAAAATGTAAAGACTTCCATAAATTACTTAGTACCTTTCAACGCTCGTATTCCAATTTTTTATTTATTTTTTTGAGCCTCCCCTAAATTTACTTTGCTCCGCCGCCTATGGCACCTACCATGAGCATTGTTACTTGATGAAAGTGAACTTCAATACTGAAGCATTTTACATAGCTAATACTTTTAATTCTTTTCTCGCAATTTTTCGTATATCTACGCGTGAATAAAGTAAGAAAAAACTCTACTCCATTCATGAGTTAGTTTGCTCTTGCGAAAAAGTTGGGCATGATATGAAATTTAATTATTTGTTTCAGTTGTATCAGTGTCGACCTCTATCATTATCAATAAACATTTAAAACTCGGCACTCCGATTTAGTCTATTTTCGCCGAAAACAAATTCGCCGAATGAATTTATCGCCGAAAAAAAAATATAAGTTGAATTTAATCGGTCATATAGACAACAATTATATTTTAGATAATTATTCCATGATACAAAGTCAGTTAGAACCACGTACGATGGCTTCCAAGTCGGTTGAATTGACTATCAAGTCAGATAGTAGCCATGCGAGTTGGCAGCCATGTGAGTTGGCAGCCATGTGAGTTGGTAGCCATGTGAGTTGGTAACCAGCTGAGTTGGCAAGCATCTGAGTTGGTAGGTGGATACGTAGAGAGAAGAAAAGCACACCCACGCCTACATCCACCCACGCTGACATCCTACACCTATATCCACCCACACCTGACTTGGTTACCAACTCAGACGGTTACCAACTCAGATGGTTACCAACTCAGATGGTTACCAACTCGCATGGCTAGCAACTCACATGGCTACCATCTGACTTGGTAGTCAATTCAACCAACTTGGAACCCATCTCACGTGGTTCTAACTGACTTAGTGTCATGGAATAATTATCTAAAACATAATTGTTGTCTATATGACCGATTAAATTCAACTTATACTTTTTTTCAGTGATAAATTCATTCGCCGAAAATGGAATCCGCGAACTGCATTTTCAGCGAATTTGTTTTCGGCGAAAATGGAATTTACCTATTAATTTGTGTATTATACATTATCAGTCATTTAACGTTGTGCAATAGAAAGAAGAATTAGATGATTATATTCTAGATTAGTATTCGCTGTGAGTAAGAATTCGATGGCGACCGGTGAGTAATTAAGAAATGGTTTAAATTGATTCAAAAAATGTTCATGATTATTTTCTAGAACCGAAGGCAGCTGAAGAAGACCAACCCATTACGACGTCAACAGACGACGGTGATGTGGCTGCTCAACTAGCCAAAGTTCAACAAAGTTTGCCAGATAAAATCGACACATGACACGTATTTAATCGTTGTATTTTACTAGTGTTGGAACAAGTACCAGGCTTGTTTGGAGATCTATTATTAGAAAAGCAGCAAGAAGATCCACCTGTATTAAAGTCATTTAATTTGGCTACTGCTGCTGCATACATGGTCAACTGTTCGAATATTATTGTCATGTCTGGTGCAGGTATATCGACCAGTGCTGGCATACCTGACTTTCGATCACCCGGTACTGGACTTTACTCTCAATTGGAAAAATACAATTTACCATTTCCTCAAGCAATATTTCAATTGGATTATTTCCGCGTGCGTATATTCGACTTGAATTTTCTCGTTGTTTTATTGTCACATTTATGTTTTTTTATTTCGCGTAGGAAAATCCAAAGCCTTTTTTCCTGTTGGCTAAAGAGCTCTACCCACAAAAGTTTACTGTAAGTCGAAAAAGCAAAGAAAACTTCTCGTCGAATTGTACTATTTCATTATCAAATCTTATAATTTAGCCGACGCCGACTCATTACTTCATTCGACTATTGAACGAGAAAGGCAAATTACTACGTACATTCACACAGGTTTGTCTAGAATTAGCTATTTTTCTTTTTTGAAAAATCGAAATCGAATGGCTAATCCGAAACTTGGTTGATTTTCTAGAATATTGATTCTTTGGAACGGATTGCTGGTATACCAACGGAGAAGATTGTCGAAGCTCATGGAACATTTTTTACTGCGCACTGTTTGGATTGTCGAGCGGAATACTCATTGGAATATGTTAAAGGTCTGTCGATAATCGTTTCAGACGATACCTGGAGAATCCGTTGAAAATACTTGAAATTCTTAATCGAAGAAGAAATTTCTCGAGAGACTAATTATCGAAATAACGATGAGTTTCGATAAAGAACTGTGCTTTCAATGATTTTCGTTTGTTGCGATAGAATCCTTGTCTATTTTTTTATTTAGACATTATTTTCAAGGATGAAATCCCATATTGTAGTACGTGTAAGGGAATTATCAAACCAGGTACCAGTTTTTAATAAGAATGTTTTTTTCTTTTTGGTAATTGATTCTATTTAGATATTGTTTTTTTTGGTGAAAGTCTACCTGAACGATTTGCTGAATGTGTTAAAAGTGTAAATGAAAATTTAAAATAAATTTTATTTATTTGAATGATTCGTTTAATAAATAGGACTTTTCCAAATGCGATTTCCTGATTATTATTGGTACTTCACTAGCAGTAGCACCGTTTAATAATCTTATTTCATAGTATGATGTTCAAACCTTTTGTTGTTGTTAAATATTTACCAATGATCTTGTTCGTTTCTAGTGTTCATAAAAATTGCCCTCGACTATTGATTAATATGGAACCAGTCGGTAATACGGTTTCATTTTGGAATCCGGTAAATGATGAATTGCTGTTATTGTTGAAAACTGAAACTATAATATTTAATCCTTCTCATTCATGAATTTAGTTTGACAGTACGTTGATGTTCGATTCCCCAAAAAATCGTCGCGATGTCTTTCATAAAAGTACTTGTGATGATGGCGTGACTGAACTAGCGAAGTTAGTTGGTTGGGAAGTAAGATTTGTTTTTTAAATAAAACATCTTATGATCATATCATGTAAATTTTCTAGAGTGATTTCCAAAGATTTCTCCAAAAAGAGAGGAAATTGAATCCAAAAGAAACGGCATCTTCGACCGAGATTGTTGCTGGTTCAAATGCAAGTTTAACACAGTTGAAGGTAGCTGCCACTTCCACTAAAGCAACATCTTCATCAGCAAAACCGACTAATGAGACTAGGAAGAAAAGTATTTCATCAACAAAGCCAACTAACATCACAACGAGGAATGCTTCACCTACGAAAGCAGCAGCTGCTGCATCTTCGAAGAAGCTTCCGACTTCGACAAAGATAACTGCTGCTGTTGCTGCTTCTTCGAAGTCTCAAAATTTCGCCTCAACCAAAAAGACATAGCTGCCGTTTCGTCAAAAACCGAAACGGAGAAGAATACTGAAAATCTAGTCGAACAAATGGCTCAAACAGCTTTAAAGAGTAATGAAAAAGATTTGTAAAAAATTATTTAATGTCTTTTCTTATATACAAATCACGATTTTATTGAAATGCATAAATTATATTCGCCAAATATAAGATCACATTTGCAGTTAATTGATATCCCAGTATTGAAAGCACTATGGCATTTTTGTTATATTGATGGATTGATCCATGTTACTATTTTTGTCTCACTTGACACTGTATTGATAGAGAGAAAGCAAAAACGGCCAAGATATTCACAATTTTCTTGTTCTTTTCTCTCGTTCAAAGCGCAAAAAAGAAGCACGTTTTCTTCTTTTATTCTAAACAATTCTGTGTTTTCTCTTGAAGCAGTTTTTATATGAAAAAACGTTGGATGAAAATGACGCAGTTTTATTATCAATTGATCTTTAAACTCATGAAAAAATTAAGAGAAATATATACGCTATACCAAAAGTACAATGAAGATAGAATGAATCCGATGCTAAACCCTAGTTCACCATCGAAAGCACAATGCCTAGAATGTTTATCTAACTTTTCCTCCAGAAAGTTGACTCTTGACATCTGTTTCGCAATTCCACTATCTAACCTCGCTTTCATTTGAATATTTTTGTTTAAATGTTTTCTATGCCGATCTATTACTACTGCAAGCATTCATCTGTTGAACAATTCGTCTTTAATCGTTGAAGGCTGAACGACTGACTGTCATTATCTGTTCAAGAGCAACCTTGGTATATCATCGATAGTTCTATTCATTGACTCAAACCATTGTCAATAATAAAGCCAGTATACTCGACATTGTCCATTCAATGACGGATCTTCGATCGCTGAAAGTATTGTATCTAAATAATAAGTTAGAACGAGAAATCGATGTTCTCACCCGTTGACGATAAGTTTCCCAAGTGTTCACTGTTTTACTTATGCCGCGTCATCTCACAGAAAAATAAGCGTTGAAAAAACTCGATTAAAGACTCGGCATTTCGAAGACGAAGAAAAAAAATCAAAACTGTACATCGACACTGATCGTGCAGTAATTCGAAGAGGAAGCATCTCGACAAACTTAAATCTTGTTCTATATATATGAGAATATAATTGAGTAAATAAACTATGCTATTGGTGAAACAAAACTACACCTGATCAATATCCGTATTCAACACGAATCATGTTTCTTATCGAGGACTGATGTTTTTCTTCTCAATAAACCATAAAATGTTAGGAGACCAACTTTGTGCATGCATACTCGATGTAAATTAATCAGTATGCAAAAAAGTAAAAAAAAATCTTCGATGAAGACGATTGGCACATAACTAATGTCCGCGCCAGAATAAAAGAGGGGTGAGTGTAAGCTCAATAACTCGACAACCGCAATAC